GAGATGAGGATGATGCTGATTATAAACCTAAGAAAATTAAGACAGAAGATATCAAGAAGGAGAAGAAAAAAATTAGAAGAAGAGGATGGCAAATTGAAAAAGTTATGAAGCTGAGTCCCAAAGCAGAAGTAGTAGTTACATTCTTTGCAAAAATTGCTTGACCATGAATATACTACTAAGGAAATATTCAGAAAAAAAATTCTTTAAAGATTGGAGAAAGGAAATGACTAATGAGAAAAATACGATTACCAACCTAAGCAAATGCGACTTCACACAGCTGAGTCAGTGTTTTAAAGTCCAGTCTGAGGCTCGAAGCAGACGAGCAAGGAATAAAAATTAAAAATCAAAGAAGAAAATGAAAAATTATTGAAAGAATATGGCTTTTGTGTTATGGATAATCATAGAGAGTGGATTGCAAATTTCAAGATAGAGCCTTCAGGGCTTTTTCTGGCCGAGGTAACCATCCCAAGTTGGGCATGCTGAAGAGAAGGATCATGCCTGACAACATCATTGTCAACTGTAACAAAGATGCCAAGGTTCCTTCTCCTCCTCCAGGACATAAATGGAAAGAAGTCCGACATGATAACAAGGTTACTTGGCTGGTCTCCTGGACAGAGAATATCCAGGGTTCTATCAAATACATTATGCTGAATCCAGTTCCCGAATCAAGGGCAGAAATACGAGACTGCTCGGCGGCTGAAGAAGTGTGTGAACAAGGTCCGAAGTCAGTATCGGGAAGACGGGAAGCCCAAAGAGATGAAAGTTCGGCAGAGAGCTGTAGCGCTGTACTTCATTGATAAGGTTTTTAAGAACTTACAACTATTTATGGAGAACAAGCAGCCCAAGATGATCATTTTTATGGACTTAATACTGGTATTCTAAATAAGCATTTTCAGGATCTCATGGAAGGTTTGACTGCTAAGGTTTTCTGTACGTACAAAGCTTCCATCATGTTGCAACAGCAGCTTAAAGAGCTCACAGCCCCTTATAAGAATGTACCAGCAAAGATTCTTAAAACCGTGCCAATCGAGCTGTTGTGATTCTTTGTAATCACCAGAGGGCGCCACCAAAGATCTTTGAGAAGTCAATGATGAACTTGCAGTCTAAGATTGCTGCCAAGAAAGACCAGCTAGCAGACGCTCGAAGGGACCTGAAAAGTGCTAAGGTTGATGCCAAAGTCATGAAGGATGCAAAGACCAAGAAGGTTGTAGAGTCCAAAAAGAAGTCTGTCCAGAGACAAGAAGAGCTGCTGATGACGCTGCAAGTTCAAGCAACAGACAGAGGGGAGAATAAACAAATTGCCTTGGGAACTTCCGAACTCAATTATCTGGACCCTAGGATCAAAGTGGCTTGGTGTAACAAGTGGGGGGGGGGGGCAAATGAGAAGATTTACAACAAAGCCCCTAGGGAGAAGTTTGCTTGGGCCATTGATATGACCGATGAGGACTACGAGTTTTGACCAGTCTTGCCAGGGGTTCTTTGAAAAGGGACAGTGTTGTTTGGAGAAGATGGATAAACTGAGCCTCACTTGCTCTCATACCCAAGGGAGAGGCTGCAAGTCTTAACAAACTAACATCTTCGCAAAAAGAGAGACCTGGAGATATTATAAGGGACAGCTGAGCCAGTTGTCCTATGGACAATTTATTTAAAAATATCTCAGATATCAAAATTCTAGGTGTTTGATTTGTTTTGAATTTTATTTTTATTTTCAAGAGAGCAAGTGAATGGGGATTCGTCAGCATCCTGCCAGGCAAATTCAGTTTTGCTGCAATGTTTGGATTCTCTCAGCTACTGTATGCGAAGCCTAATTATATTGGTGCGTTTTTACAGTTAGTGTTTTGCAATAACTTCTATATTTTAATAGAAACAAATTCCTAAACTCCCTTCTCTCCCCTATTTCAGGAATTTAAAATTAAGTAGAACAAATCAAAAACCCAGCGCACCTATTAGAGTTGTCACTCTATCGTCATGGGAATCAGTTTTCATTAAACTTGAAACAGTGTGACATCGGCAGTGTTTTGGTTCAGACACCTATTCACAGAAAAGCATGATGGGAAAATATTTCCTGACTTGAGTGTTCCTTTTTAAATGTGAATTTTTATTTCTTTTTAATTATTTTAAAATATTTAAGCCTTCTTCTTGATCTTAAAGATCTTGTAGCTTGGGGTGTGGAGTGATGAAGTGCGAGTGAGTCTAAGGATAATGAAATAAGCAGGGACTGAAACCATTTTCCCGTCAGTTTTGGTTTGGAGCATTCTTGGTGCCCTTTAAGAGATCCATCTTTTTCGTTGGAGACCCCAGTCTTTCATTTGAAAGATTTTATTGTCTAAAAACTTCTACAGGTCAATAAAATTAGAGGAAAATGAGCATTTGGTCCAAGAAAAAAATAACAAAAAGAAAAAAACCAAAAAGGAAAAGTAATAAAGATTTTAGTGCTTTTATTTTTTCTTTTGTAATTGTGTAAAAAAAATGGGGCAAAACATAAAAAGCAAAATTTTTAATGTGAAGACTTTTTTCTACAATAATTAGTTTTAAAGGCATTGTTAGCTTAGTGTATGTGCAGAGGCCATTCCCTCATTTTTCCTCAAGTATTTTCTATTTTTATCATGAATTCCTTTTTAATCAACTGTAGGTTATTTAAAATAAACTCCTATAACTTAATGGGAAAAAAAGCTAGGCTCACTAAATTTTAACTAAATTGCATCTCTGAACATGACCATCACAGATGTTCTTCATATGACACTGACTGTTTTAACTAATCTTAGTCATGATGTGACTGACTGTCCTCAAGCTAAACAGCCCCCATATTGGTAAGTTCAAAAATGTTCTCTTGAAGAAGATGATTGCCGCGCACTCTCTGGATGAGCCAAGAGGATGTTGTTAAAAATGTACAGTGGACCTGGATACAGCTGCTAAAGTATTTGATGTTTCAGGTGTAACTGTGAATTCAGGATTGTCAAGAACAGGATGTTGCCTGTCCAGCATACCTCTTGACTAGTTTGAAGAGTAACAATAGTTCAATAAATAATAAAGTTGCATAATTGTCCTAGAAAGAATTATCCTAACCACAAGAGTCTAAGAGAAATGCAAATAAATAGATGATATCAACAGTTAATGAGAACAGTCTAGGAATAGGGAATAATGAAAGCAAAATCATAGAAACCCAAATGCTCTCATTTCTAATAACCGTGCCAATAATGTAGGACTCAACAGTGCAGGAAGCTGAGAAGACAGGGACTTGAGAACAAGAGATAAGCAATGCCAACTTAAAACTAAGTTTCTAAGTTATGTATCTACAGGATTATAGGAAAAAACCTGGTATATTCTCCAAAGGAGATACAGTAGTATAGAATATAGAACGAAGTGATTCAGCCTTGGCTGATGAGTTGATTGTGAGACTTTAGATTTCACTACAGCTAAATATTAACCACCAAAGCTAAACTTCTTTTTTGCTTTGCATCACACTGTAACTGCAATGAGTGTCAACTGGGTACACTGTTCTACCTGTAGATGTGCCTAGTGAGAAAACTTCCTTTGTTGCTTGCTATCTGCTTATGCTTGTGATATTAAAGTTACAAATCAAGTATGGTAATGATTACCAGTGGGGAAGTTCAGGGATGGAAAGGATAGGAAGTAAGGGAACAAACTGGCAATTATTTTAATTATTAGAAACTTAAGGAAACAAATATGAGTGTAACTGTTCATGAATCTATTAAAACTATGAATATAGTCTCATGCTATCCATTAAGTGACTCATGCTATCCAGGGCCATGGCCACTTGTTTGTAACAGATGGTCACAGTTTTCTTTCTTTCACCGACTTTACACATCCATCCCAGGTCATGGGACCCATTAGGAGAAAGGCTCCTAGCAGCCTGTGTCTTTTGGGCAAATAATTTCCAAAAGGAGAGACTGCATAGCACGGTTTCCTACAAGAAGTTGGTGCAATGTCCTCATTGCAAAGCCCGCCCCATCAGCCCTATGAAGGATCTCTGCTTGCTTTCTTCCATGGCACACCTTCCCTGCATAGCAGCAAAGTAGGTGCCACTTGATAATGAGCTCTTTGTCTTCTGCGGTCAGACTCCACTCTCCTTCCTGATTTTTGTCTTCTGTGCTATGAAATCTAATATTAATGAAAATGTTATTTTTGCCTCCGAAGATTATCCTGTAAAACGATTAATTCCTGATTAAATATTCCTTCATGCAATTTCTTCAACTTGGAGAAGCCGAAAGCAAAACAAGCAAACAACAACTCAATACCGAGCCCTTGATCCACTCTCAAAGGGCAAGCCTGGGAAAGATTTTCAAATACCTCAATTTTGCCCCAAAATTAGTCAGTGAAATGATGTCGGATTTAAAACTTTCTTCCTCCATGACTGGGAATTGTGACAGTTGTGACACACTCTTAGAGAGTAAACCATTCGACCCTTGCATATGATTAATGTCATTTCCCTCCATCTTGACTGTCCTCCACTGTGTAAAATGTACATTGCTTAGTTCCATCCATTGAGTTTTCCTTCTTGTGGCCTCTCTGATCTACAGAACAGGAAACTATCAGAGTCAGAGATATTTCAGTGTGCCCTGTAATCCCATGAACTAAATTAACCTGGAAATAGGATCCAAAATATTATTCTTCTGTCCACACTGGTTCAGGTTCCCAAACATGAGTCTTGAATATTACAATAGATATGTGATACAGTAGTGAGGAAATCCTGCTTAGAAATGGAGCTGTTGAGGCTACAGTGAGGGTGCAGTGCTTAAGAGTCCTTATTGCTCTTACAAAAGACATGGATTTTATATCCTGAAACTATTTGGTGGCTTCCTAATCACCTATAATTTAAATTCCAAGTGATCTGGTTCCCTTTTCTGACTTCCACAATAAACAATCATGGTGGTCATACAAACATGCAGACAAAACATTCTGACATACAAAATGAGATTCATTCATCTAAGGATTTAAATTTTTTTAACTGAATATTATTTATTTATTTGTTTGTTTGTTTATTGTTGTTCTACAAAGCTTTATTTTTACTTAGTCCAAGGCTTGAGGGACACCATGGCAGTTATTAAGCTGCCTAATGTCTTGAAAGGTTCAGGTGGAGGTCCTCCGGCTGACTGGTACAAAGACAAAGCCACAGCCTCTTGGATGGCAAGGAGAACTCCAAATCCAAATCATGCATGAGTGTGAAACACCTAAGGACGTAGTCACCCAGAGATGGCCAGTCTGCTTGGGTCTGGCTCTGTCACTTTAGGGAAGTAGGTCAGGATGCTGCCAATCTTCTTGATGGGCTTCACCTCCTCATGCAGGAGGTGGTTTTTCAAGATGTCACAGAACTGAGTCTTTGCAGGCAGAAGCCAGGGAATGAAGATACAATAGGGGTTACTAGAGGATCTTCTCCTGGGCCAAGACTGGTTCCATGGCTTCTTGGGTTTTACCTCACTCACTTTAAGAGGGCTTCTGCACATCCTAGAAGAGAGTGTGGCCACAGCTATTGTTTTGTAATTTGAAGAGATCCTTGGCACCCTCGAACTTACCCTTGGCCAATTTGTAGAAAAGGGGCCTATACCTTCCAGAGCCACATCAAGCCAATCAAAATAGTAGTCCAGACACAGGTAGGTGTAGGAGGCCTGGCAGTGCAAGACCACCAGGGGGGTCCATGGCAGCTTCCATTTCAGTGGAATAATTCTGAGGAATCCACAAGGTCATTGCTGATCATCAGTGTGGATCTAACTGCAAAGAGATGTTGCTGGCTGGTCCTAGGAGCTGAAGGCAGTGAGGCTATAGTCCCAGAGGATGCCGCTAGAGGGACTGTAAGGTGACTGCAAGCTAACAAAGAGGGAGCTCCTGGATCTTTTCTGTCCTAACACTGTTGAAACAAAACCCAAATCCACAGGACCTCCAAGGTACTGTTCACATCTAACAGTTTCTAAAGAAAATATTTTTTTGTCCTTTGTATAACTCTTGGTTTAAACTTGACAGTGACAGATTTTTAAATAAACTTGACTTAGGACTCGATTTGTAAATTAGAAATCTCTCCCATTTAATGAAAACTATAACCAAAAAACATATTGACTAATGTTTTACCTAACTTTTAAAAATGTTAAAATACACTATGAGTCAGGCAGTGGTGGCACACGCCTTTAATCCCAGCACCCAAAAGGCAGAGGCTGGTGGATTCTGTGAGTTTGAGACCAGCCTGGTCTACAAATCAAGTGCCAGGACAGGTTACAAAGCTACAGAGAAACTGTCTTGAACCCCCCACCCCCGCAAAAAAAATACACTATGAACTAAAAGAAATTTCGGTCAACCTGCAAGTTATAATTAATAGGAACTCTTTTGTGTTTGTGTCTCTCTGTGTTATTATTTTTGTTTTTTCTTTTCTTTTTTCTTTTTATACAGTGCTTCTCTGTGTAGTCCTGGCTTTCCAGGAACTTGCTCTGTTGACAAGGCTGGCCTTGCTCTCACAGAAATCCACATGGTTTGGCCTCCTAATTGCTGTGCCACCACTGTCCAGCCTAATGTGACCACCTACTTATGAACCAAATAGTACCATATTAGTTTTATAAAACAAAGTAAATATAAAGAGTACCTTTATATAAATATTTAATGAAGATAATTTTAAAGCTAAGGAATTGCATCGTTTCTCAGTTTTAAATTAATCTGTTGATTAAAGCATACTTTAGAGTTCCATGGTGGTGGAGGCACATACCTTCAATTCCAGGACTCAGAAGGAAAGGTCGATAGATCACTGTGAGTTCAAAGCTACCCTGAACTACAAAGCATGTTCCAGGACAGCCAGGGTACTTATACAGAAACTCTCTCTTGACAAACTAAAAACAAACAACAAACAAACAAACAAAAACCACATTTTACCAGAATTAGCAATCTTTAATCTAAAGCTTATTCTTTTAAAGATATGATTGTGATCTAAATAGAAAACTTCAATGTCCAAAACATAGAGCCTCACCTGATTATTGGTAAGCCTTTTAGACTGAACAGACATCACCAGCTTAGCATTTAAGCCACTTTCTAAAATTTATTTTAATTTGGGAAATTAAATAATCAAAGTTTGGGAAAGTCAGTCTTCTAAGAAGAGAGCATGATTTTGAATAGGAAGGAACAACGTAATAAAAATGGCAACCCTACCAAAAGCAATCCCTTCAAAATCCGAACACAATTCTGCACAGATCCTGAAACAAAGATAATCAACTTCATATGGAAAAACAAAAAACCCAGGGGAGCCAAAACAATCCTGTACAATAAAAAAACTTCCAGAGGTATCACCATCCCTGATATTGAGATTCATTATACAGCTACAGTAATAAAAACAGTTTGTATTGGCATAAAAACAGATTGATCAAAATTGATAATCTAACTACCTCAGGACCCAACAATACCACTCTTGGGCATATACCCAAAAGATGCTCAATCACATTACAAGGACATTTTCAACTATGTTCATAGCAGTATTATTTGTAATAACCAGAACCTGGAAACAATCTAGATGCCCCTCAACTGAATACTGAATAACGAAAATGTGGTACATTTACACAATGGAGTACTACTCAAAGGTAAAAAACAATGAAATCTTGAAATCTGCATGCAAATGGACGGGACTAGAAACAATTATTTTGAGTGAGGTAACACACACCCAGAAAGATAAATATAGTATGGATACTCCTAAATGGATACTAACTCTAAAGCAAAGGATATTGAGTCTATAGTTTATGATCCTAGAAAAGCTAAGTAAGAAGATGGACCCTAAGAAAAACATTACATAGATCCACCTAGCAAGTCAAAATAGACAAGATTGCCTAAAAAACTGGGCGCATGTGGGTGGGGGGAGTAGGGAGGGCAGAAGGGGGAGAGGAAGGGAGAAAGGGAGGAGGGAGAACTTGAGGGAATATGATAGTTGAACTGGAGGAAAAGCAGAGATGAGAGGAAGGTAAGATATATTTTGATTGAGGGAGCCATTTGGGGGCTAGCAAGAAACCAGGCTCTACAGAAATCCCCAGGAATTCACAAGGATGACCCCAGCTAAAACCCTAAGCAACAGAGAAGAGGGTGCCCTAACTGGCCTTGCCCTGTAGTCAGATTGATGATTATCTTAAATATCACCATAGAACCTTCATCCAGCAACTGATGGAAACAAAGGCAGAGACCTGTATCAGATCACTAGACTGAGGAAACAAAGTCCAGTCGAAGAGTGGGAGGAGTGAGAATATGAGCAAAGAGGTCAAGACTGTAATGGGGACACCCACTAAAACAGTTTACCTAAGCTAATGGGAGCTCACCAACACCAGTCAGGCAAAGAAGGAGCCAGCATAGGTCCAAACTATACCTCTGAATGTAGGTAACAGATGTATGGCTGGGACAGACTGTGGGGACACTGGCAGTGGCAACAGGATTTATCCCTACTGCTTCTACTAGCTTTTTTGGAATGGAGGGCCCTGGACCTTCTCCAAAGCAATGTGCTTTACCCTCTCTGAGAAGTGGATGGGGAGTGAGGTGGTGAGGTAGGTGGAGGGAATGAGAGAAGGGGAAGTAGTGGGAACTGGGATTGGTGTGTTAAATGGAAAAGATAGTTTATGTTTAAAAATGTAAAGAAATAAAGAGGAGAGCATAATAGACAGGCCATCAGTCCTTTTTAATGTTGTAAGTTAAATTTATCTTAGATAAGATGCTTCTTAATCTTAGAAAAATGAAATGAGATATTAATTATTATGATTTTAATACTTAGCATAGCCAATATTACTTGTATGGAATAATAATACTTGGATTTTGACTGTGACTCTTTTTTGGTTTTGGATGTTTTTTCATTCTCATTCTCACCATGGAAATGAAATTACACACACACACACACACACACAATACCAAGTTCGCAATGGTGCACAGACATGCAGACACACACCCATACACATAAAAAATAACATTAAAAATTTTAGAAACATATTTTTGAAAAGGTATCCATAGCAATTTGTCCAAAAATGATTTACAACGAATATTATCCAGAGGCATCCAAAATGCCATAAAACAAAATTAAGACTTATTATTTTTGTTATGCATGAGAATCACCACAAAGGAAATCAAGTTAATATTTTCTGTAAATAGATTATTATTAACATCTCTGTACGAATGTTAGCTCTTCTACATCATTGAAAGTTATTTTTTCATAGTCAAAATGAAGAGTTTTAAATAAATAAATGGCAATATAACATGTTATCAAACATTGAATAGAGCCCTAAATATTTCATTTAGATATTTTACCAGTTGCTGTGGCAGAGAATTAAATTCTCTTTATTTAATAGCAGGTAAACTTATGTGTCGCTGAGGCTGAGTATTTGAATGCACTCCATATACTGTAGATATTCCACTGCTCAATTCCAGTTAATTTGCCTACAATGAAGGCCTAAATATTTACTGATAATTGGATAAAATGATTTCTGTTCAAATACATATTCACATTAGTCACCCAGGACCAGGGTTTCCAAGACTGACAGTTGGGACCTGTGTTACCTGGGTTTGACCTTAACTTTTTCCCCAGAAGAATATGTAGTTTGCTCAAGAGGATAGGCTATTAATTTTTTAATCTAAAATGTTGTGGGAAAATGTAAACTTTTTTGCCACTGTGTATTTGAGACAGAGGTGAGCTAAATTTCCTTTATAATCCCATGGTTATGTTTTGCAAAATGTCTCTAAAACAAAAGAACCAGCACTGGCGGTCTAGTATTCCTTTCTACATTTATTGTATGGGAGCTTCATCATTAAATGATTTAAAAATACTATAAAATTTAGTGCAGTCAGAATAATTACTTTTTAGCTGTGATGTGTATTTCCTTTTACACATTTGTATCTCGAGCCAGTAGATGTTTGATAAAGATTACAAGTCAATATTTATTTAAGAGTGTGAAGCCATGTCCGATAAAAGCCCTAAAGGACATCCTTTTAGACCTTACTTCTATGATGCTTACAGATTTCCTCAATCACATGAGCATATCTTGGTCATGGTTTATACCAGAGTAAGCAATTGCTGACCTCCAGGGCCCCAACAGAGCAATTAATCTGCGTGTTTTCCTAGTCTCCTTGCTTGGTATTACAATCATGTAATCCCTTCCTTCAATAAAAAAGACTGAAAATTTTAAGATTATATCAACAAGACTAGAGAAAATATGAGACAATAAATAACTGGAGGGAACTAAGACTATGGGAGAGGAGATATGAGCTTTATTCACTGATTATACTGCAGCAAAGAAAGAAGGTAACTAAATCTACATCATCCTCTCCTCAAGATGCTAGAGGAAAGGAAAATGAAACAAGGCTGTACAAATCTACCTTCTCAAAAGCTAATATTTTGGATTATAACAGCATCAAACAGTTGGGATTTAATCACTTTAAAATCTTTCCACAATATCTTTGAAGATTAGGACCCATCACAGAGTTTTCTGAAATTATTGTGTTTTATTTTGCTTTTACTTTCTGTGATAAATGCCATGACCAAAAGCAACATAGTGAAGAAAGGTTAATTTGGATTACACATCCATGTCACAGTCCAACACTGAGAAAATCCACGGCAGGAAGATGAGCAGAAACCATGGAAGAACTTGATTAGTGGCTCCACTGTAGACTGAATCATGAACAGCTAACTTTCTTATATAGCGCAGGACCACCTGCCATGTGATAGTGGTGCCAAATAGTACTAGTCCCCCAGCCACCAATCAAAAGAATCCCTCACAGACATGGATGGCCACAGGCTGTACTGACCAATACAATATCTAAACTGAAGTTCACTCTTCCAAGGGAACTTGGAATAAAATTGCAACAAAATTCATTAGTACACTATGACACCAAACATTCATTTTCTGAAGTTCATCTAATTTTCCAATACAAACTGAGTTTGCAACAAATTACTTTTGAAACCACAGAGACAACATTGTTAACAAATTCAGTACTCATTTGCACCACAGTGTCATTATCACAGACTAGTCTACAGTACAGGTCTGCTCTGTTGTCCTGTGACCGCCATATATACGCTATGGGACACATACACCTAAACTTACATTGACACTCTTTCTCGTCATCTCCCGCTCTCTCTCCTTCCCTCTACCTCACAGTATGAAACGAAAGGCATGAATTATCCCTACAGTGGGCTCACTGAAGGAGTTAGAGTCTCTTGTTCATTTCCCCTCACACATGATCGTTTGCCTCTCTGCCTGGGATTATGCAACACAAAGGATATCAGTAGAAGTAAAGCAATGGGACTTTTTAACATAGAGAAACCATAGGAATTAGACTGCATTCTTTTAAAATATTTATAACTGTGTGTGTGTGTGTGTGTGTGTGTGTGTGTGGCACTCAACATGGCTGCTGGGAAAAGAACTCTGTTCATCCTCAAGAACACAAGAGCTCTATCTATACTGCTGACACATCTCCACATTTATGTTCTTAGTAAGTTCATTGTTCTGTAATATCTTCATACATGAAATTCTTAGACAAAGTGAAAATTATCATTTCCACATGACTGTGAATAGACATTTCTTCCATTTTAGAACTTGGGAGGCTGAAGCAAGAGGCATCTTCAAGGCAAGCCTTAGCTAAATAGCAAATCAATAACAAAAATCTTCAAAATTTAACTTACTATTGGTATTGAAGATATTTACCGACCTACCCATCAAAACAAATGGAAATTGAGCAAGACAAAATCTAGCTAGAGATTAATTTTCAAGAGGTGGAATAAGGTAATAAATCAGAATAGTCAAAAGACATGGCATAGAGGGTTGATTAAGTTCCCAGACTAGCTACATATACATGTGCACTTCCAACAAGCCACCATGGTGAGACTCATCATCAGTTAGGCAACACACAGCCCTTGCAGTTGGTGTCTGGTGGTCAAATATGCATGGAAATCATTAGGACATTGGGTGGTTTGAAAATCTATTTTGCTTAAAATCATCTGTTTGCTCAAAGCACACACAGATGACTATCTATGTGTGTAATATCCCAGTGTCTATACTGGATGCAAAGTTGAAACTTTGTCAGTCTAGTGAGAGAAATGTTTTCTGATACCAGCACACATAATGACAAACTTCCTGAGGCACAGAAGTCACAGTGCTAATTAGTTTCCCTTCTCTCGTCTTGTGAAATTTTTAATTTCTTCGTAGAGCATGCCCCAAAAGTAATGGATTATAGAACATTATGTGATTGTGTACTACCCAGAGCTGAATTTCTTTTGATTTGTAAATATATTTTTATAGAAACATCATCAGCATTTTGTTGCCCCACTCCCCCACAAATAAGGAGTACTAGTTTGTCCCAGATAAATCTCAAACACATTGTGCTTTTTCTAATGCATCCTAATAGGACAATAACAAAGGCACATCTTCCAGTTTTCAACAGTACTTAGTGAAATTTGAATGTGTAGTAATGCTATCCTCACTGTTTTTCAGAACAAAGGTGTGAGAAATACTATGTGTAGATACTGAAAATGTGGTAAATATATATAGTGAAAAATTGGTACATGGTTATAAACTTTTAAGCTATCGAATTTGAGGGCAGTTAGATGGGATTTGGAAAATATCATGGGTGAGTAAACCTGACACAGAAAGAAAAATGCTAAGATTTTTTTCTTGTATGTAGATCCTAGCTACCACATTTCCATGTTTATTTAACCATGTGTATAGGAAAGACAATAAAAATAGGGACAATTAGATGGAAGAAAAGTTTGTTAGAACACATCACAAAAATATTGGGAGAGAGTATAACAGTGGGTTAAAAGGTATAAGCAAAGACGGTAGTTTTAAGATTTGAAGAATAGGGTGTATGTGTATGTGGTAAAAAAAAATCACACCATCCACGTCACAGAGAAAGCTAGTTTGAAACCATAGTTAAAAATATAGATGACTCAATGGATATTTCTCCATTGATGATTACTTCTGCCCCAAGTGCCATTGGTTACTAATGAGAAATTAGTGCCAAGGATGGGACACTTTCCTTCTATTTCCCGGCCCAGGCGCAACTAAGGTCTCTCTCAAACTGCAGGTTATTGCCAATATTCATTGTTGTCCATCACAAAGCTTTTTCGAAAGGAAACATATGGTTTGTAAACAGTACATTGAGAGATCAAGTTGTAACTTAGCTAAAAATTTTCTTTTTAATAAGTAGCTCCAAAGTAAAAGCTCTTACTTTACTAAGTGGTAGAAAAAAAAAACCACTCAATTATTACCAGCAGTAAAACCAGTAAACCATAATAACAACCGGTCAAGAAAAATATGTATTTTCAAACACTAGAATGAATATTAGAAGAATAAATCACTCCTCTCTATATAGATTTGTGAAGACCTCCAAAGAGAAAACACATATGAAAAGTTTTTAAACTACTCATTTTTACGTAGTGTGAGTATAAGAGTTGTGTGTTTTCATGTATGTGCATGTGTGTTTGGCATGTGTATGTACATGACTCCCGGGGCAAGAAAAGAATCATAAGTCATGTGCTTGATGTGCAAAATTACAAATGTGGGTTGAAAGTAAATGGGTATTTTGGAGGACACGTGCACGAAAGAGATTATGGAATGTGTATATTTGTAATTTAACTCCTAATATTTAGTACATATAAATGAAAACCAATTATAGTAAGTGCAATAATTTCTGTCATTTTTTTTAATTATTGCTAGTGTAGTAGGTTTGAAAACAACCGCAGTAGAAGTTCACTTGAAAAATGGCCCAGTAGGTTTTTTGAAACTTTGTTCTCATTGGTAGATATGTATGAGGATGATTAAGAGCTATGGGCTCTTGGTGAGTATCTGTCATAATCTCTTTTGTTCTACATTGGAATTTATTTGTTAATTCTTTCTCCACCTCTATGAATATGCTATTTTTTACTCATTTGTGTGTCTCTCTGTGTTTGTGTGTGCACAGATATGTATGTGTGTGTTCAATATTAAGTGTACATGTGATTGTTAGAAGACAGCTTCAGAATATGATATATTATTTCCACCATGTAACATCCAGGGAGGCAATGCACATAATCACATTTACTGGGAAGAATCATGACTAGCTCATGTAAAACACAGAATATCCGGAACACGCTACCAAAGAGGACACTTTTAAGTTTTATTCATTCTAAACCCTTTGACTATTTTCCCACATTTATTCTAAACATAAAAGTTCTCACAAAGTGAACAATTTATTGAGTATAGTAGGAACTGTGGATGTTAAAAGATTTTCCACATGGTTATACATGTAAAGTCTGTCTCCAGAGTGACTTCTTTAGAATGGCAGCAGGAACTCTGAAGGCTTTGGACAATACTTAAATGGATATATGCTTTAGAATTCTTTCCACTGTAAACCTGTGCATGCGGGTTACAGAAGCTGGATGTGCTGAAGACTTTCCCACATTACAGACACTGTGTGAGATCCTTATGCTTGTTAAAAATCACAAGAACAAAGAAATAGTTCATATACCATGTGCACATACAAAAGGTTTCTATCCAGTGTGAATGTTTTTACTCTTGTACCAAATGAATCTAGTAAAGGATTTCTGACAATGGTTACACGCATTAGGCTACTGACTAGTGTGAAGAGGTTCATGTCTGTTATGATCACAAGAGCAGCTGAAGGCTTTTCCACAATTCTTATGTGCATAAAGCTTTCATTTCAAGTGAAATATTTTATGCCTGTTAAGGTCAATAGAATGAACAGTTTCCACATCTTTTACACACACAAGGTTTTTCCTCAAGTTTGTTTTTTTTTCATGCAAATCAGGAGAAGTTGAAGTGTTCAAAGTTTTCCTGTAATGTATACATGCAAAAGCCTTCTCTCCAATTTGAACCCTTTCATGCATGTTCAGCTGAATGGAGTGGATAAATGCTTTTCCACAATGCTTAAATATATGAGACTTCTCTTTAATGTGAACTCTTTTCATGAGTCTTACAGGAAGTGAAATTGGTGAAGGCTTTTTCTGCAATACCTATACGAACAAGGTTTCTATGCAGTGTGACTCTTGCCATGTCTGTTATAACTAACTACTGGCGTTGTTGAACGAATTTCCACAATGCTTACTTACATAAGGCTTTCTCTCTAGTATGAATTATTTCATGGATGTTCAGATGACTACGCCAGAAAAAGGTTTTCCCACAATGCATGCATATATAAGTCCAATGCTTCTCTGTAGTGTGGTTCCTTTCATGTCTGTTACACCTACTGGCTTGTTGAGGTTTTTCCACAATGCTCATGCATAAGGTTTCTCTGCAGTGTGGCTCCTTTCATGTCTGCTACGACTACTGGGGTGGTTGAAGGCTTTTCCACAATGCTTACATGCATAAGGCTTTTTTCCAGAGTGAATTATTTCATGAATATTAAGAAGACTGAGACAAGAAAAGGCTTTTCCACAATGCGTGCATGTATATTGACTCTCAACCCTGTGCATTCTTTCATGAATTCTACAAGCATTGGAATTGGTGAAGGCTTTTTCACAATGCTTACATGCATAAGGTTTCTCTCCAGTGTGAATTCTTTCATGAATGTTTCGATAAGTAGAACTGGTGAACTTTTTCCCACAATGCTTGCAGGCATAAGGTTTCTCTGCAGTGTGGCTCCTTTCATGCCTGCTACGACTACTGGGATTGTTGAAGGCTGTTCCACAATGCTTACATACATAAGGCTTTTCTCCAGTATGAATTATCTCATGGGTATTCAGAAGACTGGGACAGGAAAAGGCTTTTCCACAATACTTGCATGTATAATGTCTCTCTGCCGTGTGCATTCTTTCATGAATACTACAAGTATTGGAATTGGTGAATGTTTTTCCACAATGCTTACATGCGTAAGGTTTCTCTCCAGTGTGAATTCTTTCATGAATGTTTTGATAAGTAGAACTGGTGAACTTTTTCCCACAATGCTTGCAGGCATAAATTTTCTCTGCAGTGTGGCTCCTTTCATGTCTGTTTCGACTACTGGGGTGGTTGAAGGCTTTTCCACAATACTTACATACATAAGGCTTTTTTCCAGTGTGAATTATCTCATGTGTATTCAGAAGACTGGGACAGGAAAAGGTTTTCCCACAATACTTGCATATATAATGCCTCTCTGCCATGTGCATTCTTTCATGAATGCTACAAGCATTGGAATTGGTGTATGCTTTCCCACAATGCTTACATGCATAAGGTTTCTCTACAGTGTGCATTCTTTCATGAATGTTTCGATAAGAAGAACTGGTAAACATTTTTCCACAATGATTGCAGGCATAAGGTTTCTCTGCAGTGTGGCTTCTCTCATGTCTGTTACGACTACTGGGGTGGTTGAATGCTTTTCCACAATGCTTACATGGATAAGATTTCTCTCCAGTGTGAATTCTTTCATGAATGTTTCGATAAGAAGAACTGGTGAAATTTTTTCCACAGTGCTTGCAAGCATAAGGTTTTTGACCAGTGTAACTGCTTTCATGACTGTTATGATGATTGAACTGGGTGAAGGAGTTTCCATAATGTATGGAAGCATATGGCTTCTCTCCTATGTGAGTTACTTTATGTTTCTCAAAACATGCTGCATATTTAAATGTTTTGCCACATTCCCTACAAATGTACCATTTCTTTTCAATATGACTTTTTTCGTGGTTGGTAAGATCGCTGGAATCAAGGAAGGATTCTTCACTGAGATTGCATATGAATTGTTTCACTTCTTTATGGGTTCCTTCATCATTCTGGTCATATGTGCATCTCATTAAGACATTCTCATTGGGTTTATTTTCAGTATGACTTCTCTCCTGAGGCTGATCAAAACAGAGACTCCTACAGGCTTCATTACACTGTTGAATTTTACTGGGTTTCTCTTCAGGAGAAGCTTCAAGTACTTGAAGTGATTCAGAATAACTGCTATCTTTCCAATGTTTCTGATGTGTAAAAGCTTTTGCCACAGCTCCCTTAAACAGTGGTGGTTTTCCTCTAGTATTTTCTTTGAGATACCCATGTAAGGATAAATGACCAATAATGTTTCTTACATAAAATGAAGTCTCATGAGCTTTTACTCTGGGTGGCATGTCTTTATTGATCATACTCTCTAGAATAGATTGCTGGTTTTTATCACACTCAGTATAACATTCATATCCATGGTCTTTCTCAATCCCCTGAATTCTGCAAAAAATAAATAAATAAATAAATAAATAAATAAATAAATAAATAAATGAGAAAAACAATACTGTAGCCAAGAGAAATATTGGAGGCTGGCCTGTGTGGAATACAACTATACTATCTCAGAGGGAAGAGAATAATGGTATCAATGTCAAGGACAATTGATATGACATGAAAGAACCTGCCATGTGTGAAGAAGTAGAATATTGGCTTTACTTCTCTAAGAATTATGAAAAAGCTGTAGCACAGGCTTGGAGGTTAAGAACAATTCTTAATCCTTAAGAAAACCAGATTTAATGACAGGGATTCATAAGAAGAATTTTTTTTTTTTTTTTGTCACAGCAAAAGAAAGCAGACAAAGCACAGCATTGATGCTCAAAGCCTTATAAGTATGAACAGAAACTAAAACCTTTTGCACATGACGGGATGTTTTGTGTAATAATCCATTGGAAACACTTTTTTCTGCCTTCCGTCCCACTTGACATATTTGTAATATTAATAGATTAAAGACATGAAATACACAAATATTGAATGTCACAATACAATGCTCCATTACAAGAATTTGTGTAGACTTGTTTTTCACTTAGGTGTATTTGGAGCACTTGGCATGTTCTCAATTGTCCTTTGAGTTCTAAATGTATAATATAAATTATTTTCTACTGAATAAAAAATTACCCCATATTCCTGTTGTGATCTTTATAGTCCTCTTCAATATTTTCCTCTAGTGCTTTTTCTAGAAAAAGAAATCCAGAGAATACATTATGACACATTCATAGTCAACATAAAAATTACTGCAATCTAGTTCTTATGATACGGGTATGCACACTAAATTCACCACATTTTCACTTCAAGAATTCAATATCAACATGATATGCATAAGTATGACACGGTTGTTCACTGACTGAATAAGCAATGGGAGCATGTAGTACTTTTTACCTATGGAGATCAGGTTCAAAAATGTTTCCTTCATCACATCTCTGTAGAGCTTCTTTTGACTAGAATCCAACACAGCCCACTCTTCTGAGGTGAAGTTCACTGCCACATCCTCAAATTTTACTGGATCCTATGAGTACATATATCAATTAGGATGGTTAATTTTCACTGACAGGATACATAATCATCTTGCATGTGTTTCTTAAGAAACCTCTGAATTATTATATCAATAGGATTTAGTGAAGAATACCATGAGATGCCATCTTGATTACTTGATGACCCACTGTCTCATTTACTATTTATTAGTGTGTCACTCACTAGCAGCTTCACACTTCTGAATTTTATGAACTGGACTCTTCAATTGTGATATGAAATAAACTGCTTCTGCCTTAAGTCACTCTCCTCAGAATAATCGGTGACAGCCAGAGGAAAAGCCTGATGTAAGGTAGAGCAATGCGGAAATCCAAGCAGCGATAGAGGAAGGAAGAGGTGGAGTCAAGATGATGCCATGAGCTGCTGAAGAAGAAAATCACCAAAACTCTTCTAGTAACCCACACCTTCATAGCGACTCACACATTAATAGAAATGGGTTAATTTAAGATGTAGAGTTAGCTAATAAGAAGGCTGAGCTAATAGGTCAGAGTATATAATCAATATTAAAGCAGTTATTTCATAAGCAACTGTAGGAGGTAATGATCAGGACCCAGTGGGTGGAGAGAAACTGGTCCAGGGCAATTAGAGGAATGGAGAATATTTGTAACTACATAAGGGTGCCCAATATCTAGCAACATACATCTACATAAAGCCCCAAAAAGCATTTAAAAAAGTGTTTCTAGACAGGAGTCGAATTGGAGCTTCCTGGTAACTGCATTTTTTTCCCAGAGAGCATCTGTTTGCTGGTGGCCCGGAGAGACACTGTTCCTTTAAGACATAGCATTATGATGATCATGCTGTGTCTGGAATGATTCTGGCTCTTTCAGGAGGTCCTGCTGTGGAGCACTTACGGGGTTTGTGAGCAGTATGCAGCAACATGTTTGCTGGAGCTGGGGTGCGAACATGGTTTAAAGAACTAGTGGTAATTGTACCTCCACCATATTGAAAGGCTGAGAGAGGCAGATTCAACATCCAGGGACTCAGAAACCATACTGCTTACCACGTAAATAAACTAAACAAAGAAAAATCTCCTTGTTAGAAAAAGATTTCAGATACACAATAGGACAGATTTAGACATAAAACCCCTCTAAAGGAGACATAATGTTTCAAAAATGTGCACAGGCTTCGGTGAGAGAGGACAAATATAGACACGTATAAAAAGAAAGTTTTAAAAAAATAAAGAATTTGAAGAGAAAGTAAAAATAATATAAAACAAATAAGTCACATAAAAATGAAAAATACACAGAGTATCTGGATTGTGCATATTATTGTGTTTTCTTTGAAATTTTCACTGCAAAGAGACATTTGATTCTACGGACTGATAAACTAAACCTATATATATGTTAAAAGTATCTTGACTTCCAAATTTGAGTTTAAGGATATGTTAACTTTGATAAAGATGTTCTGCTTTTGTTTTCACACATGAAGAGCACCTGTGGATTCCTTCCAGGCCAATGTGTTTTGATGGAACAAGAACCACCCAAAAAGGTCTCCATGAACCCTAAAAATACTTCACCCAACAACAGTAGGAAGTAGTTTGGAAAAAACAATGTACAAACACCGTAAATGTTTGTTTATAATTGTTTGCTTTCATTTTAAGTGAGTTGATTAGAAGTGGTTAACAGTCATAGTCCTTTTTAAAAAGAGGGTGGGGTGGGATATGATACAGAAATTGGTATGGACTTTGGTTTCTCGGAAAAAAAATTAGGTCAATTTTGTTACATGTATATTTCTAGTCTTGCTTAAAGTATTAGATTTATATAGTTCATTTAAAAATGTAATGCATAATTAAAAATTACAGATTAATATAGTCATTAACAATAGTCAAACTTATAATTATGTAAGTTATGTTTCCTAGATATACTGAGATATTTTTCAGTTAGATAATCTCCAACACTTCAAAGTCCTAGAGAATATGGCATTTAAAAGGCTTTAAAAACTTAGACTTTTTCAAAAGTAACACATGTCTGCTTCTGGCAGCACCAATTACTTTGGAGAGGTTTATGGGCACTGAAGAAACTCATTACAAAATTTGCCTTCAATGTGACAAGGCGCTAACCATTTGAGCAAGAAACTGTTCTTCCCTGGACTGATTCACAGTATTCTGCATAAACTGGACATGCAGGACCCACATCTGGCAAGGAGACTACCTCCCACCTGAACCCAGCTTCAGGCACTGCCTGAATTCCCAACAAGTCAGGATACCTTTCTCATCAAAGTTGTAGGTATCCTAAATACCTTCCCTTCACAGTTGTAGGTAGGTATTGCCGGACTTTCAGACAAGTCAGGATACCTTTCTCCTCATAGCTGTAGATATTCAGCATACTGTCCCAAAACAGCCATAAGTATAGTCTGGCTTCCTGATAAGTCAGTATACTTTTCTCTCCAGAGCTGTAACACTTGCAGGTATAACCTGACTTCCCAACAGTCAGGATACATTTCCATCCAGAGATGTAATACTTGCAGCTAACACACAACTCTCTCTGAACAATGAACCTAGCAACTTTTGGGCATCCTTCTAGGAACAATGAACTTTATAGGGCTGTATCAATATCTTATTAACAAATTGCAACAATGGCCATCTAGATAGAAACTAAACAGAAAAATAAAGAAACAGATGTTATGACTCAAAAAGATGTAGCAGATATCTATAAATACACAAACACAGAATTTACCTTCTTATAACCATTCTCCAAAACTGACTATTTAATTGGCCATAAAGCAAGTCTCAACAGATATAAAAAATTGAAATAACCCCTGTATCTTTTTGAAATACCAAGTATTAAAGCTGGATTTCAACAACAACAGAAAGCCTACAAACTCATGGAAACTCAGCAACTTTCTACTGAATTACCACTTGATCAAAGAAAAAAAAAGATAGAAAGAAGTTAAGGAATTCCTAGAATTCCACGAAAATAAATGGTCAACATACCTAAATTATGGGACACAATGAAAGCTGTACTAAGAATAAAGTTCATAACACTGAGTTCCTTATGCAGAATTTGGAGAGATCTTATACTCAAGACTTAAAACATACCAGATTTAACAGCACAAAGCTGTAGGACAAAAGGAAGCATATACCAAGAGCAGTAGATGGCATGAAATAACCAAATAGAGGACTGAAATCAATAAAACACAAAGAGAACAATCCCAAAGAACCAATGAAACAAAGAGTTGGTACATCAAAAAAAAATCAACAAAATAGATAAACCCTTATCAAAAGTAAAGGCAGAGAGCAAATATCCAAATTAACAAAATCAGAAACAAAAAAAAATACATAACAACAGACTCTGAAGAATTCTGTAGGATCATTTGGTCATATTCAACTAGCTTTACTACATAAAATTGAAAAAAGGAATGGACAAGTTTCTTGATAGATACCACTTATCAAAGTTTAAACAAGATCAGATAAAAAGTCCAAATAGACCAATCCCTCCTAAAGCAATAGTAATCAATAATTTTTGATTATTTTAATGCTTTATAAATAATACCATTCAAAATTTCCACTTCCTCCCCTTCTACCATTTCCCTCCTACTCTCACACTCACTCTCCCCTCTCCCCCTCCAATCCTAAGAGAGGGCAGGGTACCCTGCCCTGTAAGAAGTCCAAGGCCCTCCCCCCCTCCATCCAGGCTTAGGAACGTGTGCATCCAAACAGACTAGCATCCCCAAAAACCAGCACATGTGGTAGAGTCAAATCCCAGTGCCATTATCATTGCTTCTCAGTCGGTCCCAATTGTCAACCACATTCAGAGAGTCCAGTTTGATCACATGCTCGTTCTGTCCCAGTCTAGCTGGCTTTGGTGAACTCCCATTAGCTCAGGCACCCTGGACCAACCCCTCGTAGTCCTGACTTCCTTGCTCATATTCTCCCTCCTTCTGTTCTTCAAATGGACCTTGGGAGCTCAGTCCAGTGCTGCAATGGGGTCTCTGTCTCTATCTCCATCTGTCACCAGATGAAGGTTCTATGGTGATATTCAAGATAGTCATCAGGAACATGTCCCACTGGATGGCCAGAAAAGTTTCTCAATAAAATTTTTCAATGAAAAGACTTTCAGGGACAGATGGTTTGAAGGTAAAATTCTACCAGCATTTACAGGAACAGTTAATACCAATACTCTTCAAATTATTTCACAAACTAGAAACAGAAGGAACACAGCCATTTTTTTTCTATGAGCCAACAGTCAGCAAGACGCCCAAACCACACAAATACTCAACAAGAAAAGAGAATTACAGACCATTTTTACTCACGGACATTGACATGAAAATACTCAATAAATCTAAGAACACATCAAAAAGATCCTCTACCATGATCCAGAGATACACAGTTAGTTCAACATAAGAAAATCTGTCAATGTAAGCCTCCATAGAAACAAAATAACGGGAAGAAAAAAAACCACACGGTCATCTCATTAGATGCTGAAAATCCTTTGACAAAATCAAAGAGCCCTTCACAATGAAAGTCTTGGAGCAATCAGAGATAAAAGGGTCATACTGAAACATAATAAAGAAGTATACAACAAATCAAACGACAACATCAAATTAAATGAAGATAAACTCAAAGCAACTCTATTCAAGAAAAAGACAAGACTGTCTATCAATACCTATTCAATATAGTACTTCGAGTTCTAGCAAGGGGATACAAAATAGAATGGAACAAGTTAAAGTACCATTATTTAGAGATGATACGATAGTATATACAAGAGATCCCAAAAAGTCTACTAGGGAACTCCTCTGGTGTGGGAGAATAGTCTGTATTCTGTCAATTATATTTTAAATAAATGCTGATTGGTCAGTAGCCAGGCAGGAAGTAGAGGTGGGTGAGTGAGAACAAGAGAATTCTGGGAAGGAGGAAGCCCATTCCTCCCCAGTCCTGTCCAGACATGGAAGAAGCAAGATGTGACCTATCCCGCAGAAAAAGGTACTGAGCCATTTGGCTAACATAGATAAGAATGGGGTAGTATAAGTTACAAGAGTTAATAAGAAGCCTGAGCTAATGAGCCACTCAATTTATCGTTAACATAGACCTCTGTGTGATTTCTTTGAGACTTAACGACTGCAGGAACCAGGCAGAACAAGGATTGGGCAGGACAAAAAGCTCAGTCAACACTACTCCAGCTGCTAAACACCTTTATTCAGGTGGCTGGATAAGAGTAACAAAAAAAAAGTTGCTCTCCTATATACAAATGACAAACAGGCTGAGAAGGAAATCTGGGAAATAGCATCCTTTACAACAACATCAAATAATTGTGGTATAACTCTAACCAAGCAAGTGAAAGACCTTCATGCCTTTGTAGAAAGAAATCGCAAAAGATATCAGAATATGGCAAGATCTCCCATGCTTTTGAATTAGTAGGATAAACATAGTAAAAATGGCCACCTTACCAAAAGCAATCTTTAGAGTCAATGCAATCTCCATTAAAGTCCCAACAAAATTCTTTACATACTTTGAAAGAAACATACTCAATTTCCTTTGAATACAAAAGAAAAACAATACCAACAAAAAAACTCCAGCATAACTCAAATAATCCTGTATTATAAAAAACTTCTGGAGATATTTTCCTTTATCCAAGTTGGCCTTCTCATCTTCTATGTAATTATTTTAACTATTATTAGTCAGAATTATCTCAAATGCTGTTAATATTTCCTTCAATTCGAGAAGAGAGATCAGAAAGTGAAGGGGAAGCTGCGACCTGTATGGGTCCTAGCAGAAGAGAGATGCCAACACCATGGATGACTGCCAAGGACAGAAGCAGTTGTGGACTTGAGGTAGTCTGAGTCTAGGAGTCAAGTGATGTGTGCTGTGGCTAGCAGGACAGAAAAGTTGTGTCCCCTAAGCCCTGTGGAGACTAGACTATCATGCGTGAAGCCCAGATGAAGGACACCGAGCTACAGAATGTGATTAACAATGTTGAATTTGGGGTTTGCTTTGAGCTAATTGTACCTGTGCTCTGCTTCTTTCCTTTTGAAATAAGAAGTGCATATCTTATACTTGATTTTATAGGAGCCCACAGAGGAGACATTTTGGATTTAAGAGACATTAAATATTTAAAGTGTATAAATTTTATTTAAGACTATGGAGATTCCTAAAGTTACACTCTGATTTATACTGTGATAATAACATGAAATCATGGGGACAAACAGAAAAGGAAAAGTTATGGTGTAATAGTGGTGAATTTGTATGTCAAGATCACAAGGAGTCAATTGTGCTGGTTAGGGTTTTGTCCACTTGACACAAGCTACAGTCATCNTTTTTTTTTTTTTTTTTTGATTTGTAATTGATGTGTGAGAACCTAGTCTGCTCTGGGTACCATATATTAGCATATGGGCCCGAGTTCCATGAGAAATGAAACTGAAGTGTGTTGAGGAGCAACTCAATAAGCAGTGTCCTTCTCTAATTCCTGTTTCAGTCCTAGTGTTTATTTCAGCAATAAAAAGCAAATTTAAAAATAGCTCTTCTGACGCTAATGAGGTAACTCAGAAGTTTAGAGGACTGATGGCTCTTCCAGAGAGACCACACTTGATTCCCAGCACCATGGGTGGCTCACAACTGTCTGTAACTGCAACATCAGGGGATGGGGATCTTACACCTTCTTTTTCTTTCTTTCTTTTTTAAAATATCCAACTAAAAAGATTTATTTCAGCCAGTTGAGACTACACTCAGTTATTTGGGACCTAAGGGAAGCCCCAAGCATTTAGACCAAATCCCACATCCTGTAATCTTGCTCAACAGTGCAGGGGGAGCTTTTGCCCCAGCAGGCAGTTTAACAGTAGCCAAGATGAGCAGTAGCTGGAGGAGGTTTTATACCCTCTTTTGGCCTTCAAAAGAGGTCAAAATGTATTCACGTACTACATGAAAGCTGAACACAGACATACATGCAAATAAAGCATGCATGAAGAACAAATAATTCTAAAAACCAAGATAACAACAACAACAAACATCTCTTATAGATAAAGCCCCGAGAAAACATCATAAAAATACATTAAGTACTTCTGAGTATGAGGAAGTTTTTTTGTAATGAACCACTGAAAAATCTCTTACATAGTTAAATATTGCAGCACACTTTGGTAACATTCAGAAATTACAGAGATGGGATATTCAAATTCTTAATGATCAAATCCAATTGCAGTTTTATAAACATCTATGTTAGAATTAATTTATACTTAGGTATATTTGGATAATATATTAGGTTCTCAGTTGTCTTATCATCCCCAAATGTTTGATGTGAATTTCTCTCTCTTGAGTATAATTTACCCTAGATTTCTCTTGAGCCTCTGGTAGTCCTCTTCAACATTTTCTTCATGTGTTTTCTCTAGAAGTAAACCCAAAGAAATCATGACTTAGTCAACATTATAAAAATTTATTACATTCTAAATTTTATGATGTGACCAGGCACATTAACTTCACTCCATGTTCCCTTTCGATATTTCAAACCAGAGACTACTAAACACGTAAGCAGGAAACAGTTGTCTGAATGAATAAGCTAAGGAATCATAGTGTGTTTTACCTATGGAGATCAGGTTCATAGTTTTCCTTCATCACATCTCTGTAGAGCTTCCTTTGACTAGAATCCAATAAAGTCCATTTGTCTGATGTGAAGTTCACATCCATATTCTCAAAAGTCACGGACTCCTAAAACAGTGCACATATTAGGATGGGTGGTTTTACCTGACAGGTTGACAGGATGCAGAACTGTCTAGCACATGTGCTTCGGAAGACACTTCTAAGTGGTTATGCAGATAAAGGTTAACATGAGGAATTATAGGGATTACATGAGTTAATGTGAGAAAAACCACTCACGGTGCATGGAAGCAGTCTCTGACTTGTGTGCAGGATTATATTAGAAGAAGAAAGGAACTGACGAACATATAGCCACACATTGTTGATTGTGCTTATGATTTTGTAGACAGAAGTTTCTGTACCTTGGTCCTTCAGTGTTAAGTCCCAAAGAAACACACAGAGGCTTATATTGATTATAAACTGCTTAGTCTATTAGCTCAGGCGTATTATTAAATAGCTCTTAGAACTCAAATTAAGAATAATTCTTGTCTATGTTGAGCCATGTTGCTTGGTACCTTCTCTCAGTGAGGCATTCTCATCTTACTTCCTCTGTGCCTGGATGGTCTTTAGCTCTCTACCTTACCTCTTCCCAGAATTCTCTTAGTCTGGTGGCCCCCAACTACACTTCCTGCCTAGCTACTGGCTAATCAGCATTTTCTTAAACCAAATGGGTGACAAATCTTTACAGTATACAAAAGGATTATCCCACAGCATGATTTGACCATCTGTTTCACACTCTTGCTTTAAGGTTTCTATCACGATTTACTGAACCCTTCAACTATGAGAAGAAATAAACTCTTTCTGCCTTAATTCATTTTGTTAGATAGTTTATCACAGCAATAGGAAAACCCTAATATAGNAGAGAAAGAGAGCGAGCAAGAGAGAGATCATCATAGAAGACAAAGCAAATCTGAGTGGACCATTTGGTAGATGCAGTCTAGACAAAAATGATGAAAGAAATGCTTACAGAAGACACACAGATCAGGAAGACTCAGAGTAGAACAAGGATTCAGTTTTAAAGTAAGATGGAGGCCATTACTTTCTAATTTCTTCAATAACCTAGTTTCATTCTGCCGTGGGACCAGGAACGTAAAAAAAAAAAACCTCATGTTTAAAAACAATGAAGTACTTTAGTAAGTGAAAAAGAGTATAAGCAAGCTTAAAATTTTAAGACATGAGGTGATGATAAAGCAGTTATAATTGGTATGAAATTAATTCTAGGCCCTGGGAGAATAGCGAGACAGAACAAGAGAAACAACCTGAGACTTTACTTGGGTTTTGCACCCAACACCCTGTGATATTCTTTGAACAATCATCTGTATATAACCTTGAACCACATCTGCTATCAGATTTCATGTTTAAGAAAAATAGCAATGTGTTAGCCCCTCAGACACCTTATTAATCCCTTATATCTAACTGCATTTTGAAACACATCTGGGAACAATGAAAAATGGCCTGAAAGTAATGTGCCATTTTGGGGCATATGTACCATAAGTCAAACTATGTTTTCAAAATTAGCATCTAAGGAAAGTCTTTTTACCACTTTTCATGTGAATAAGGCATATGATTAAGATCAGAGGCATGATGGGAAAGGGCATATGCAGGGAGCAAGGCTTTCCAAATGTCCCCCTTTCTGTCAAAACACAGAACCTGCTGTTCATTCTTAGACACCAAATCTATCTTTAAAAGCCCCAGGCAATAATTGGTGACCCAACCCTGTTCATATCCACAGTTTGGATATTTTAGGAAGATTATTGAAAAAAAGTTTCTGTGGGAACACATTCTGCTCCTTCAGTCAATAGCCTTTAAGGTACCAGCCCACTTGGGCATCATCTCTAACACTGTAAAAGCAGTGGTAAATATGAGCCTGTTCTCTTGCTTCTGGCTCCTGCCTCCAGCTGCTAGACTCGGTTCCTGTTCACATACAGGACTATTGTCAAGGACAGTGATCTGTAAATTTTTCCCTTAAATAATAACCCTTTTATTATTCATAATTCTGAACTGGTGTGGGATTGTTTTGTGACTTACATCATCATCCTGTGCCCAAACGTTTGGTTTTAGAATGAGCTGGCTCTATTGTCTGCCACCAGCTCGGAGTGCACCTGACTAGGCATAAGCCCCCTCCCTCAGCTGACTGTGGTCTGTGCATGGAGCCAGAAGTTCATTTGGATATAGACTTTTCATGAAGCGGCGATTTTTCTTGCTGCTGACCAACCGATCAGGGCCTACTACAGGACACACAGGTTGTGATTTCTATTAATAACCTAGCTAGGTTAGTTTTGTAGGTAGCCTGCAACATCTACTAGTAGGTAATGGTTATTACACCTAATCCAGCTAATTAAACCACATGTAAAATTTAATATTCTAAACATAGATCATAAGTTGCTAATTTAAAAGGGGCAATATGTCAGACAACCTAACTGTCCAAGGTTTCAATATCCTCTTTACTTACACCATGTGCGAGGCTTTACAACAGTTATATGATGTCCCTTCTACATCATTATTTTTGATTCTGAGGATTAGTCTTGTCCTCAATATTTTTTTTCTTAAAAATATGGTTTGACAATAGGATGAAGAATGAGGTGTTTTTAGAAATGGTAAAGTCTTTACAGAACTGATACCAAACTTTTCAAGAAAGAGTTTGGAAATCTGAAGAAAGATATGACCACTTTAACAAAACTCAGTCAACTGAGATACTTTTAGAAATGGTACAAACTGGTACCAAGCTTCTCAAACACGAGGTTGGGAATCTGAAGGAGGATACAAACAATTTAACTAACAAAACTTGGAAAACTGAGGTACTTTTGGAAATGTTACAGACTAATAGTAATTTATTTAAAGGAAGATTCAGCACTCTGAAGGAGGAAACAGCCAATTTGGCACATAAAACCCAATCAAGGATACTTCCCACTTTCTCTTCTATAAGGTTCAGTGTGCTGGCTTAATGTTGAAGACTTTGATCCATTCAGACTTGAGTTTTGTGCATGGTGATAGATATGGGACTATTTTCATTCTTCTACATGTTGATATCCAGTTATGCCAGCATCATTTGTTAAATATGCATTCTTTTTTCCATTTGATATTTTTTGCTTCTTTGTCAAAAATCAGGTGTTCGAAGGAGTGTGGATTAATATCCGGGTCTTCTATTCAGTTCCATTGGTCCTCGTGTCTGTTCTTATGCCAATACCAGGCTGTTTTCAATATTAAAGCTCTGTAGTAGGGTTTGAAGTCAGGAATTGTGATGTCGTCAGAAGTTCTTCTGTTGTACAGGATTCTTTTGGCTATCTTGGGTTTTTGATTTTCCATATGAAATTGAGTACTATTCTTTCGAAATCTGTGAAAAATTTTGCTGGGATTTTGCTGGGCATTGCATTAAATCTGTAGATTGCTTTTGGTAAGATTGCCAATTTTTACTATGTTAATTCCACCTACCCAAGAGCATGGGAGATCTTTCTTCTTTCTGGTGTCTTCTTCAATTTCTTTCTTCAAAGATTTAAAGTTCTTGTCATACACGACTTTTCCTTCTTTGGTTAGAGTTACTTTGAGATATTTTATGCTACTTGTGGCTATTGTGAATGGTGTTGTTTCTCTGAATTTGTTTCGGATCCTTTTATCATCTGTGTACAGGAGGGCTACTGATTTTTTTGAGTTAATCTTGTATCCTGCTATATTACTGAAAGTGTTTATAAGTTGTAGGAGATCACTTCCTAAATATAACCCCAGCAGCACAGACACTGAGAGAAACAATTAACAAATGGGACCTGCTGAAACTGAAAAGTGTTGAAATAGGAGCGGCGGCGGGGCTGCGTCCCCAACACCCCGGCCGCTTGGCTAGCTCATGCCCGAAATAACAACACACAAACTGTATTCATTTAAAGAACTGCTTGGCCCATGAACTCTAGCCCTTACAGGCTAATTCTCGCACCTGGACTAGCCCATTTCTAATGATGTGTGTAAGCACCCCAAGGTGCGCTTACCGGGAAGATTCTAGCCTACGTCCATCGTGGGTCTCAGCTTCATGC